AAAAAAACACCCCAGGCATATATGTTCCTCAGTTTCTTCGAAAATCGGAAAAACAAAAAAACGATAGAAATGGTTTAGTATAAAGCACTTATTGGATTTTTCTTCCTCCCGCTTCCTAACGTTGTTGTAGCATTAATAATGCACTAAATTTTTGCTTTGAGATGCTAGAAAGACGCCATAACAAAATCTGAAAAATACGAATCGTGTGCGTCTCCTATGAGACATACAAATGAGATCTCTATATCCCCTATAATTCATACAAATGCGTTTTGAGGAGAGTTTCTAATCAGTTTAATATTGACCAAATTGAGATTTTGAGCTTTCCCAAAACACTATAAAAACCATAAGTTTTGAACAAAAAGCCGGCCAAAAATTGTGCTCCCCCTCAAATCAAGCGTATATTGGTGCCAACGTCGGCCATAGAACATTTTTCAGTATTGGTCAGCTAAGAAATCAGTATGGGGAGGAGATGTGGCAGTCACCGCTACCTTCGTTTGCCTAGGGACATTTTTATACTAGTCTGACCTGAGTCGGGATGAAGTGTGAAAACATCTGGGTGGGAGAGAAGATAGTAAGTCACAACTCCATTGTCCAAAGAGTCCGCGTCAGTGGCGTTCACCTGCAAAATCATAAGAACAGCACTTAAATACTATTCAAAGATCAAAGAAGAAGGTTAATGTTTTTAAAGAGTCGAGAAAAATTCGGCTCATGTGAACGATCGATCTATACCTGAAATATATTGCGTGCCCGATTTGTGTGAGGGGGGTTGTTCATCACGCACACACACACACACACACACACACACACATCAGCCACAAGTTTTGGGCCACCACACATGTGGCCGATGTCTGTGGTCTGTGGTAGGCCAAAAAATCTTCTAAGAAAGCTGTTTGTGACCATAAACTTCATATAAATTACTAAGCAAGCATGTCTCCAATGATCAATCACCTCGCAAAAAGTTGATTGTTATTCTGATCCAGATGTTCAACTTAAGCAAAAAGGCAAACTGATTTGAAAAATTTCAAGTTTCATAGACGGAATCGGTTAGCTGAAAAAACGAAACATCATCCCAAGTTCTTACACGGGGTAATGAGTTCACGGAAAACTTTAAAATTTTCTTAAGCGAGTTATTCAATCTAAGAAAAACTTATATCGAAGACCGAATCGGTGTGCGACAAATTTTTTCGAAGCAACCTATTAATTTAATTCGTAGTTCGAATAGAATCGCAAAAAGTTTAAGTTTTTCTAACCAAGCTATTCAAGCGATGAAACTTTAAAATATTTCAAGTTACTTCATGAAGCGAATCGCATAGTGAAAAGTTGAAGTTTTTGCGTTCAATAAATGAAAATAGGGGAGCGGTGGTGAAGTGGTTACGTCTCCGCCTCTCAATCGAAAGGTCGGATGTTCGAGGCCCACCATGATCCGTGCTCGTTGCTTGAGGGTGAAGCAACATAACCCAGCCCAGAAAAATAACCAAAAAAAAAATTGCATGTAGCTCTTAAACAGGGGCACAACAGCGGTTCGCCGTGATGAGCTGTACAGCTCTTGTGTTGGTCCTTCCCCCGTGGATAAAAATAGTCTTAAAAATCCGAAATTATTCCTGTGATTTCATAGAGCGCGACCGGTCGGCAAAAAATCAAGCAAGCTATTCAACAAAGAAAACTTGAGTTATTTTCAATAATTCTAGCAAAGAAATCAATTCGAGAAAACTTTAGTTTTCCTTAGGCAAGCTATTCAAGCTAAGATACTTTCAAAAAATTTCAGACGTAATAATTTTTCTAAGCAAGCTATGAATTAATTTGAATTATTTGAAGTCATTTCAAGAAGAGCACCGCATTGCAAGATTTCGATTGAAAAAATTCACGCAAAAAACATTGAAATACTTCAAATTGGTTCTTAGACCGAATAATTTTGAGAGAATTTTGAATTTTTTTAATGCAAATTATTCAAGTAGAGAAACTTCGAAATATTTCAAGTTGTTTCGAAGAGCAAATCAGTTCGCAAAATGTATTAATTTTTCTCAACCAGCTTTTCAAGCAATGAAACTTAGAAGTATTTGAAAATATATCATACAGCAAATCGGATCGCAGAAAATATTATTTTTTTAATGGAAACCTTCAAACCATAATAAAAGCTTTCAATAGGTCAAATGTTAAGTTTGCCTAAGCATGTTATGAAACTTTGAACTTTTTCAAGCCATTTCATATGCAAATTGATCGGCAAAAAATCAAGTTTTCTAGAGCAAGCTATTTAGGTTATAAAAACTTGAAAGTAAAGTAACCATGAAATATTTCAAACTATTTGTAAATAATTGACTCAAATGGAAGGCAGAAAGATAAAGTTTGTATTGAAACCATTTAATCGACAAACTTTGAAAAAGAAACAACTTGTTTTTAGAGACCAAAATGTTTTGCGAAAAATTGAAGTTTGTCTATGCAAGAGATGAAACCTCAAAATTTTTCAAGTTATTTCATAGATAGCAAAAAAGCTAGTTTTTTGGACGCAAGCTATTTAAGCTCTGAAAGTTTGAAATACTTTCTAAGTTACTTCATGAAGCGAATCGCGTAGCAGTAAGTTTTTGCAGTAAGTAATGCAACTCCGAAACTTTTCAATTTATTTCATGAAGTTTATTGAAAGTTTTCTATTGGAGCCAATCAAGCGACAGAAGTTTGACATACTTCTTGTTGTTTCAAAAACCTAACTGGTTTGCAAAAAGTTAAAAATTTTCTGAAGCAAGTTATTCAAGCTTTGAAACTCTGAAATAATTAACAATACCTTTGAACAAATAGGTTCAGAAAAGTTGAATCAATTTTTATGCAAGCTATTCAAGCGATGAAATTTCAGACTTTTTCAAAATATTTCAAGTCAAATAAGTTCGATACAATCTTAATTTTTATTAGCAAACTGAAATTTTGAAATATTTCAAGTTATTCTATGAAACGAATCGGATAATGAAAAGTTCAACTTTGCTAAGCAAGCTATTCAAGTTTATTTAGATCTCAAAGTATATCACATCGAATAGGTTCACAAAAATTTAGGTTTTTTAAATTAAAAAGCAGTTATGAAAGTTTGAAACGTTTTAATTTATTCTATGAGGCGAAGCAAATGCAAATTTTTCAATTTTCTTAGGCAATCTATTCAAGTTATGAAAATTTGTATTATTTCTAGTTATTTTATGAAGCAAATCGGGTATTAAATATATAAGCAAACTTCTATTCAAAATAGGCTAGCTAATTTTTCTGACGCAGGCAAGTTTTTTTATAGAGGATGTGGAAATTTTTATTTTGAAGCCATTCAAGCGAGAAAAATTTGATATACTTCGAGTTGGTTCAAAAATCTAATTGGTTTGCAAAAAGTTAAGGTTTGCAATTGGTTTCTTAAGCAAGCTTTTAAAGCTTTGAAACTCTGAAATAAATAACAATATTTCAGACCAAATAGGTTCAATAAAAGTTGCATTTTTTATGCAAGCGATTCAAGCTATGAAATTTTTTGTCATAAGTTGAAACATGGCATTTGTTTTTCTGTCATTCGTTTAATATATAAGAAGTCGTTAATCGATAGTGCTTCCTGATTTTAAATTTTCAAGAAACACTGGCAGGGCATATCAGCCAAAATTGACCTTTTGAAAAAACTATTCTAAAAATTCAAAGCAAAACTTCAGAAAATTAGATTTAATTGCAAAAAAAATAAAACTGAACCAAAAAAAAAAACGTTTTGAATAGTTCTATTGTGAAACTCGGTGTATGATAGCGTATTAATATTTAATCGATTGAGTTGCTTTTGAAAAAAACAGGACAAAAGAACAGATTGCGGAGGGCGTAATTTATTCATACTTCAAAACACTTTCTTCCTCAGACGCTACGTCTCTTTATGACTGTGCAAAATGAACCATGAAAAGGTATATTGACTGAAGATAATGAAGATTATTTAAGGCAATGAAAATCTCTTTCAGTTCGTATTTTAAGCCCATATACCAGGTCACGGGAGGAGCCATTGTCTATTTACGGTAGCTCCTGCCCAATTTTAGGCAACCACAAATAGCACCAGCATAAAATTATCTTAAGCATAGCCAACAGACAGTTGGAAAGAGTCGATGAACGCAATTTAACAGAAAAAAAATCTCAACTTTCGAATTTGAAACAAAAAATAGATACCCTTAAAGCTCTTTGATTCTAGAACAATTTTTGATAGGCTCTATTTCGATAAAACCAACCCAATTTGAGCAAACTGGATCAATAACTAAACTTGTCATTTCACTGTGAAATTCGAAAATTAAATTCAATTTTCCAAATTAGAAGTCGATCACGTTTTTTGTGATCTCAATACTTTTGCTGTTCAATAGTGGAGTTTGCCTTCCTTTTAAAAAAGGAAATGAAAAGGAAATGACTGAACTTAGAAAGAAATCAAAAGTAAAACCGCAAAAAAGTAAGTTTGAGCCTGAGCAAATTTTCAGACTATTCGTGAAAAAAAAACGAAAAAAAAACATCGCGACCTACATAAGAGTCTGAACAATGTTCATCGAATCTTAAAACTAAAAAGCATATATGTTTCTGAAGTAGTTTTGGATAATTAGTGTTTGAGAAAAAACATTCATTTCTCAGCAAATTTAGGTGACGTCTTTTTTCTTAAAAATCAAAGAAACACCCATGAAGCCGAGCACTTAGCATCAAAATATCCATACAATGAGGATTTTAGCTATTGATTTCCTTGTAGAGTAGAATAGCTATATCTGTTGACTTTTTCAGTTCTGAAAAAAAATTGAATATAACGACTTCAAAGTCCCTTGAAAAAACTCTTTGTTACACCAACGGTGAACTTCGTGGAAGAAAAGCAAGATTTGAAAAAGCCTGAAGTCATGAACACAGTAAAGGCTTGGAAACAATCAGCCTTCATTCTCCTGACAATAATACTGCGGTTGCCTATTAGTTTTACGCCCCAAGTCAAAAACCTGTGTTCCAATCGCCCAATTTTGAGAATGGAATAGACACCTTTTCTTTGAGCACTGGAAGGCCCATAAATACTTAACTAAGTGAAGCGAAAATGTTTACTTTACAATAGGAAGGTACTTGGGGCTCATATAGACAACAAAGAACTCAAGTTATTTTTAACTGAAATCAAATTTACCACAAATAGTAAGCTTGCGACGGAATGTTAATCAAAGCTCTCCAAGCTATAACAAACAAATTAGCAACCAAGCTATGACAAACAAGAAAACCAATATTTTTTAACCAATATGATTCTGGAATGTCAGCTTTCTGAAATTTTTGTTACAAAAAAGAGACCGAGTTCTTTCAACGACAAAAACACTATACATTTCTGATTCTACATTAGCTTGTGATTTTGACGTTTGAATTGTCTAAATAGTCTTGATAGATTCAGTGCTTATTGTGCATAGAAAACTGGAAGAGAAATTCATTTTCATTCGTTCGCCAGTTTTTATCCAAAAATTAACTAAAGTGTTCAAGGTCATCCCGACAACAATTGCATCAAAAATAATTCAGAAAGTTTGATATTCGTAACCAAAAAAAAAATGTTTGATAGAATTGTTAAGTTTATCTGTAAGCTACTCTGCGAGCAAAACTAGTACATTTGAGAAGAATGCGTGGAAAAAAATAACAAGTTTTGCTCACAACACGCAAAGAGTGTACGACATTACTTTCTGGGAAAAACGGGGCTAAAAATGACCAAAAAAAGGACTCGCTGTAGGTGGAAACATTTTTTTGCGAAAATTTTAGACCTATTCCTGAAACAGAAGGAAAAATAAACAAGACTGCTCGTATCAGGGCGAAGCCCTGAATGTTCCGACTGCCTTTTAAGGTTTTATGGAGCAGTAATAACATAAAAAAATTAAATGTAATGAAATAAAAAAAAATTTTAAATTGAAATTTTTTATGAAAATCATCCCCCCACACGCCATTCAAAGTACAAAAAGATAAATTTAGCTCCTTGTAACATTCAATTATGGCAATTAAGCTTCTTTCAACCAATTTTGAAAAAATTCCGTCAAAAATGGCTAGTTAAAAAGTCGAAATTTGTCTGAAGAAAAAAAACCAACCCCGAGCACAAATATTCCGTTACTTTCATATCGAAAGTCGGGACAATTATTTTATTAAAATCGAAAGAGAGGCATCGGTCGAGATCTTTAATTCTGATTCTTTTTTCAATTGAGTCCATGCTGACAAGCCTATAGTTTGTTAACAGCGACATAGATTTAAATATGGAAATATGGTGCATATAAATGCAGATCAGACAAAGTTATCCCTCTTATCCAGGCGCAATTGGCACATTTTGGACACATTTCATATGGTTTTGACAGCCAACTTCAACTCGTATCAACTTCGATAGCACCAGTAGTACCTGCCTAAAAGTATTTGAAGTGACAATGTGCTTCAATTTTCTATCAGGTTGACGTTTTGTGTGCATCAAACAGATATATAGTGAACCGAAAGGTGCATCAATTAGTCCATACAAATACGTTTTTAAACTTCCAAAAAAAAACAGAAAAAATGTCCGTAGAGTTTCTGGTAAACTTCGGTTGAAATCCTTGTCTGTTAATTGAACGTAACCGGTTAAGTTAGTCCGTCTTTCAACCTCTCGTTGTCAATTTGAACCCTATGTGTTACCGGGGTGATTAAATCATAAACCAATATGTTAGTAATGACAAAATTACTCCAGAGAGAAGAGAATGAAATTTGATCACAATTTGCGATTAAGAGTGACGTTTAGTTGGGAGGGTGGGGAGTAGCAAGGTGGCATGAAGTTGGAATCTAGTGGCTAATTATATCTCCAAAAGCCCGATTTGAGGAACCCAGACCTCATAAAGGAACCCATTTTCGATTACTGATAAGAAACAACAGCAGAGATAACATTTAACATTTGAAAAACAAAATAAAAGCCCAGCCAAAATTGTTTGGTCAACTGTTCGTGCATACATGTGTGAGAATTCATTTTCTAGTCGTGTGCGGATTTAGGGGGAAAACGCCTCAATTTCTTCAAGATTTTGAATCCGTCACTGTCGTGAAAGAAGAAGACCGCGCCAGAAGAATGCAAAAGGAAACTCAAGTCAAAAGGAACGCAAAACTTTCCAAAAACTCTGCTACAATATGGCATTTTTGACATATTTTAAGCATAAGTTTGCCTGTGGCACAAAATGCTTCTTTTAGACAGTTTATCCCAGGGCTGACAAAAGAACGTTTTTTTTCTCTACTAAAAATGTATGAGCGTTTAATACATCTTTTAAACCCACCCTTCACGATACAAACTAAATAACATCCGCTAACGAACAAATCAATTGCGAAATCCAAATTTTTGGTCGCTAGCCAAAACTCAGATTTAACGCCTAGTGCTTGAACATTTGTTTTTCGATTCCATCAGAATTCCAACTTCAAATTGTTTTCGACATACGAGCTGTTCGACTCTCTTATCAATTGACTTGCAAAAAATTAGTTGTTTTTCTGATCAAGGTATCCAAGCAAAGCAACTTTGAGCAATTTCAAGTTAAACCATATCGCAAATCGGTTTGAAAAACTGCTCCATAGAACGAATCGGTTCCCAAAAAATTGAAGTTTTTCTAAGCATGAAACAAATCGGATGGCGCAACTTAAGGTTTTTTTATGGAAGCTATTCAAGCAAAAAAACATGAAAATATTTCATGCTGTTCCATAGAGCGAATCAATTGGCAAAAAATTAAAGTTTTTTTTAGAAAGCTACTCAAGCTAATAAATGAAATATTTCAGGTTACTTTACAGAGCGAACTGGTTCGCAAAAGGTTCAACAAGTTTTTCTATACAAGCTATTTAAAATTTGAAATTTTTAACATTTCCAAGTTATTTCATAGACAGAAAAAATTCGTGAAAAAATTGAACCTTTCTAAGCAAGTTGTTAAAGCTACGAAACTTTAAAAAATTCAGAGTGATTCAAAAATTGAATCGGATAGCAAATTGTTTTTCTGTTGAAGCTTCTCAAGTGATTTCCAGGTTTCTTCTTAGTTTTTTATTTATTATTTTTGCGCGAGCTAATGGAGCAAGGAAGTTTGACAAACCCAAACTATTTCTTAGACCGAATAGTTTTTGCCACATATTGAAGCAAGCAGTTCAAGCTATGAAACTTTGACATAATTCAAGATATTTAATGAAACAATTCGTTTCAAAAAAACTTGTCTAAGCAAGCTCTTCGAAACTTGAAGCTATTCGAAACTTTGAAAACTACAACCTTTTCATTTTATAGACTGAGTTGGTTCGCAAAAAGTTTCTTGGTTTCTCTCAGCATGCTTTTCAGGCTATGAAATTTTGACTATTACAGGATATTTCATAAATTGAACCGGTTCGCGAAAACTTTTAATTTTTTTCAAGCAAGCTATGAAAATTTGGAGTATTTCAAGTTATTTCTTGGACGAAATCGGTTAGCGAAAAGTTTCAGTTTTACTAAGCAAGGTTTCAAAGCTATAAAACTTTGAATAATTTCAAGTTATTTCATAGACCGAATTGGTTCGCAATTTTTTTTTCTTTGCATGGAGGTTGATATTTTTGAAATGAATCGGTAAACGCAAATTTTTAGACAAAAATTTAGGCAAGTAATTTCTAGCTTTGAATTTGCAATTAGTTCATCTTCCTCTAAATGATTCTTAAACGTTACGTTCGATAGCCTTTCAAACCTTGTCTCCTAATAATTCTTAAGCATTGTGTTCAGTTAAACATTTCCTTTATAGTCCATTCAGATTTTCATTTTAACATATAAAATTTAACTGGATTGGATAATTGTGCTTCACCCTCAAGTAACAAGCAACAATCGTGGCAGTCCTCTAACTAACTTTTTCTTCGGTAAATTTGTGCTTTGATTGGTTCTGTATGTTTTCGTAAATTGTTAAAACTTTTCGGTAAATTGTTTCTTGTTACTCCACATTTTGTGAATTGGGTTTGATATAAAACGATTGACAAATTTTGCAAAACCTTTGAAAGCTCTTTAAAAAACACTTCTACCCAAAATTTTTAAAACCAACCTTTCAGACACAATATAGGAATCGCTATGACACATAGCTATGCCGAAAAAATATGCGCTATGCATATAAACTAGGAACGACGCTCGCTCAAACTCTCTTGCTTCAAGGAAGCATTTTAGTTCAATTTTATATAAATTTGATCTTTTACATGAAATTAGATCTTAGATCTTTTACATGGCTTGACAAGTTTTGTGAACAATTTTTTCAAAATTCATTCGCAACTAGCCTGTAGTGCGAATTATGTGGTTTTTTGAAATCAACAGCAAACTGTTTTTTCAAAACTGCTAGGCGGAAATCAACAGGCAATACCCGTTACACCAGATAAAATGAGATTGTCATAATTTTTACTTCCTCATTTTTAGCTGATTTTTATCTACTCTTCTTGATCTAATTTACGTCCCTTGCCGTTCCTCCAGCATGTGACTTCCCACCCACGCTTACATCCCTCCCAGCTGCTTACTCCTCCTCGTTTACACCCCTTCCCCGTTTACAACCCCTTCCCCACCTTCCCGGTGTTTACAAAAAATAGGTTTAAATTTCTAGAAGACTGTGAGTATAGCAGAAGTTGTTGAAAGATTTGCAAATAATTTTCAGAAAAAAGAGAATATATTCAATTATAATAGATTTTAACTGAATTATAAGATTTTATAACGGATTTAAAGGATTGTCTTTTTAAAAAAATAAATGATTATAATAGCAATACAATCAAATTCATGATCTAAGTTTGCAACAAAAATGGATTATTATGACCTTTTAGACAATTTTTTCCATTATAATCAATTTTCATCCATGAAACTCCGGTGCGGCTATGTAAGCAGTTTCAAACATCTTCAGACGTCATAACTAACCATGAAAAACCCCTCGTTACACTATGAAAACGTTGTTTATTTCAGATGTTTTTGATTTCCATATACTTTTTGTTGTCCATATACTTTTTGTTCCGTTTTAAGTTTCGAATTTTATTTTATTTTCCTGTATCGACAAAAACTGCAAAACTATGAAGCTAGGAAGAAAAAAAATCCTCCCAGAAACTCAAAAAAATTCAAAACTTGGCGATTTGAAAAGCTTGTAAAATCCTCACAACTCATCCGCAAGGGAAAAGACTAGAATACAAGTTGTTCAGCTGTTCACGGAGAACCGCTGTTGTGCCTTGTTTAAGGTTTACTTGCATTTCTTTTTTTTTCTGTGCTGGGTAATGTGACCTCAACATCAAGCAATGATTCAAACTTCATGCACACAGAAGTCGAATAGAGCAAATAGACTCATCTAATTTATCTAACCAGATGAGACTGACCTTGAAAAAAGAGAAGGTTGGGTCGTGGTCTTCTGAGATGGTAACTGCGAAAGGCGGATGGAAGATGGGCGCATTGTCGTTTTCATCCAAAATCCGGATCACCACATTCGCAAAACTCATTCGGGGACTCTCGCCATTCACGGGCGAGTCTTGTGCCATCACTACGACATCAATGTGCCTCAAGGCCTCAAAGTCCACGTCTCGATTTAGTTTCAGCGTTCCATGCTTCTCATCAAGTGTTACGTAATTCTGGGGACTCGAGTCGTAGATTACGTAACGAACGTCACCGTTCGGCCCTTCGTCTGCATCGGTTGCTCGCACTTTTCCGATGACAGTGCCAATTTTAGAGTTCTCGGGTAGGACTAGTTGCACGGCTTGATGTTCGAAAACAGGACTGTTGTCGTTTTTATCCTTCACTCGGATTTTCACATTTTGATCCGAGTAGAAGTATTCGCCCGAGGCGCGAATCGCCGACTTCGTATCGATGGCACGAACTGCGAAGTCGATAACATCATTTTCTTCCCGGTCAATTTTTCCTCTCGTGTAAATTTCACCCGAAATGGGGTCGATGCAAATGTTGACGAGGCAACCAGCAAATATAACGTATCTAAACATCATAGAGGAAATCAGTTTTAAAATTTGATTTTCTTTCATATTTAAAAATCTGAACAACGGACGCTGAAAACTCTTTGTAAAGGACGATAGATATAATATCTAGAGCACTAAAACTAAGAAAAGGCAAGTAACTCGTTAGCGTTTATCATAAAAAACTTCAAGCTCGCAGCATCGTTTTGAATTAGAGACTACAGACAACAGTAAACGGATTTGTGCTAACGGCAAAGATAAACATTTTTTAGTCTATACACATTTTTTTGAACTATTGCACGAAATCCAAGCTTCAAGCATTTAAAGTTTAGTCAGCAAAATAAACATTAAATCGTCAATACAAGCAATAAAATGTTGGTTTGTAACTATGTAAAAACAGCCCAGTTTTTACTGATTTAAAACCTCTAGAGGAAATTAAGGAAGTAATTCATAAACGCAGTCTCTGGTCCCTAAGGAAATAGGTGAAAAATGGGCAAAAATTATTTAGCATAAATAAACAAAAGCGAGTATAAACGGAAAAACGGAAAACAAATAATTAAAGAGGAAAATAATCAACATGTCAAATTAGAGTAGGAGAAAATTTGAGTTTTTGATGATGCAAAGATAAAAGTGATAATTAAAACAGGTCAGCCGGTAAAGAAAATAAAAAAGCGAAAAAAGATTGTAATCAAGAAGTTTTTTAACGAGCAATTTTCTAAAACTAGTTTGAGTCTTTAGAAAGCCAAAAGGCAGCACAAACCAAATCTCAATCCTCAGCTCAAACTCAACAAGGGTTTTTTCTCGGTGAGATAGAAATTGTGAAAATATCTTTAAGAAAGATACCATATAAGCTAATAGGAAAAGCTAAACAACTTTCCTTGATACGATCTCATAAAGCTATCTTTCTCACAATTTGTTCAGAAGCATCCCGGACTGAACGCTTTTTCTTTTCATTGCAAAGTGACGGTGGGTTCTGGGGCAAAATCCGCGGTTAATATGGGCGAAGAAGGTAGGTGAATGAATAAAATTGAGGGAATTATTGTCAATTTCTACACTCGAGGGTCTTTTAATTTGTATGAAATGCGCCTGCGGATGTTTACGGAAGCAGGAAAAAGCTGGCGCAAAAGTGTTTTTAAAAGTGGAAAAAAAGATGAACTAAAGAGCGATTGACGATAAAGAAAAATGGAAAAAAAAGTTCGATAGATTAATCTGATAAGTGTATTATCTTAATATCTGAAATCGTTACTTCAATTTAATCCGGGTCTTGGAAGCGGTACTACATCTGGAAATGAAACAAAAAAACTCAAAGACGACATCATTTAAAGCTGGATTTTGGCTTTTTTCAATCGATCTAATCGCGAAATAGCAACAATACCATGGGTCACTGAGAACTATATAACATATATCTGGTGTAATTTAATATAGAGCAATAAAGTGTTCCGGGGTTGTTACTTAATCCGGAAGATACCTGTCGCGCTCAAAGCTGCATTGAGCCGTACTTATGGGCATGGAATTTCCCATCCC